AGAATATCTCTGCTCTATATGCTTTGCTCTGGTACATTATTTTGGCTTACGACAGGTCCGGTCGGTCAAAGCGGCATGTGACCAACATCTGGGCGTTCTCTCTCTCTCTCTCTCTCTCTCTCTCTCTCTCTCTCTCTCTCTCTCTCTCTCTCTCTCTCTCTCTCTCTCGTTGTTGAAGTCTGCATGTCCAGTACTCTTGTTATGCACAAATGTAGGTAGGGCCTCGCTTCACTACCGTCGACATGCACGGAAGACAAAAATCATGGCGGTGCATCTTTCCACGTTCTAGCAGAAGATGCACTCTCATTTCCCACATTTCGAGAGTAGTGTAGCAAGGCCCGTAGTCTCGTCCTTCTCTCCTTTCCCCTCCTCTTTGTCCAAATCGTTGATGCTAACAGTTCACTTGACGACACACATGTACGACCTCTCTCTCTCCGTCGCTTTACCACCCTTTCTTTGTCTTTCTTTCTCTGTCTCTCTCTCTTTCTCTCTCTCCCTCTCTCTGTGGTGATGAGTTGGTGAAAGTCCGACGAAACAGTCTGCCACAGTCATGCTTTTTTTTATAGAGTTGTCTAATTTTCCTGTTTTAACGATATGATAACCATGTTTTTTTGGTGGACTTGTCTCAGTTGTGTATAGCGAAGATGACAACAGACACTCTTACATTCCAGTGTAATGAAGATAATCACACTGTTGCCCTTCCAAGGAACCACCGATCTGCCAAATTCAATCCTCCTCTTCTCCACGACACACTCTCTCTCTCGCTCTCTCTCTCTCTCTCTCTCTCTCTCTCTCTCTCTCTCTCTCTCACACACTCTCTCTCTGACGTTCCAGTGTCATGAAGATAACCACACTGTCACCTTTCCAAGGAACCACCGATCTGCCATATCCAACCCTCCTCTTCTCCACGACACACATGCTCTCTCGCTCTCTCTCTCTCTCTCACACACACACACACACACACACACACACACACACACACAAACCGACATAACACAACTGTGCGCACACCCACACAAGGTTTTAATCGCGGCGTTCTTTTTTTTTGTTTGTTTGAAAATTGTAACCTTCGTGGTGTGGACGGTGGGCTCCATTCCCATCATGTGCTTCTCCTCAAGAATAGAATGGAGCCTCTTTGCTTTTGTTTTTTTTTTGTTTTTTTTTTACTGTATCCCTCTTCGCAGTAGTGATGTTGATGTGGTCAATGGGATTTATCAACACCAGAAAAGCAGATAAAAGTAACTTTTTCTCTTTTCTTTTTGTGTGGTTATTTTGTATGGTTTGTGTTTGCCCACGCGGGCATCTTCTTTGCGGGTTTCACCTGGGCCAAGATCCCACTACCAAAGAGTATTGGATTGAACGCGTCAATCTAGACATGTTTGTCGAGAGGTGCAGAAAATGTAGGTTGATCAGCTTTTCGACATCTTTGCAGAAAACACATCCAGATTTAGGCCCTTAATCCGATTTTCTTTGCGAGTGGCACTGTGTTACATGCCCAGTTGGGCGATGTACATATAAAACCAAGGATCTGCAATGTGATGAAAAGGACTGAATGCAGTGCAAGTGAAATCCCAACAAGTATTGTACATCCTGATACATACAAATATGGTGCTTTATAGCGCAGTGGAAGAATTAGATACAAGTCCTGACCTGACCGCGACTGACCTCTTTCACGTAGTGCAAGATAGTGCAGCAGGATGCTAGAATAATAATGACGAGCCCCATCAATGTCGCAATGCAGACTAAACATACAACATTCTCATCACAAGGTGTGAAGGGGCCTGGCGCTACACACAGGAAGAAGGCGCCAGGTCCAGACATGCACAGACGAAGAGGAGGGGATCAGACGAAGAAGAGGAGGGGGGAGATGGGAAAGTCRTCAACACYAAGTCTCGTTACAAGTCCCRAATAATTCCTYGTCAAAATGTCTGAAGCCCATGTCGAGTCTGGATCCAAGTGTCACCAAGCTCYCTCTCTCGCRTAGTCTGCTGATGCASTGAAGTCAGGTAGCGAGAGGGTGAGAGGGAGATGGTGGACTGAGAAGAGGAAGAAGAAGAACTCTCTCTCTCTCTCTCTCTCTCTCTCTCTCTCTCTCTCTCTCTCTCTCACGTGCCAGGTACTAACCTGTGAAGATGGCGCTGTGCTGCAGGTACCTCGAAGATGAAGCTGGAGCCATGGCGCTGCAGGTAAGTCTCCCTGGCCTCCGCCCAATCTCTCTCTCTCTGTCTAGTACTGCTCTAGCTCCTATGGCGCCCAGCGCTGAAGACTACTGCTAACGCTACTAGCGCCTAGTGCTGAAGACCACTGTTAGCGCTACAACTACTCCTGCAGCGCTCCTCCAGAGTGCTGCTGCCGAATCCTGAAGACTACCTCCTGCCTCCTGAACTGCACGTGAAGTGCCTGGGAAGTACCTAGGAACTACCTGCCCGCCTGCAGGGCGGGCCAGTCCTATGTAGTGCTGGCCCGTCCAGGAGGCTGCTCTTGCCAATGCCGAAACGTGCCAGACCCTGGCGTTGAAGCTCAACCAGGGGTTGTCTTGAAAACAGGCCCGAAATGGCCTGTGCTAAAACCCTGGTTTGTTGCCTGAGTTTCAGGGCGGGTCGAGCTGATGAGGCCTGAAAATGGCCCTCAGTTTCAGGCTGAAAACACTCAGGGCCGGAAAGGCCCTGATTTATCCTGAAACGACACAAGGCCTGTAGGCCCTTGTTTTCAGGCTTTGAGGCTGAAACGACACGGGGCCTGTAGGCCCTTGTTTTCAGGCTTTTGGCCTGAAAACGTCACGGGCCTAAAAGGGGGCCCGTGCAGTCTGTTGCAGACGCAGCATGTAACACCCCCCCCTTCCTTATGAAGTCAAACCGGGTCGAGGGCGAAGCTGACGCTCTGAAGGCGGAACCTGGACGCGGGTGCGACGTAGAGCCGAAGATACCGGCTTGCCTTGCATCTTTCGTTCGTAGCATGTGAGAATATCCAGAGCTGTTGCTTGGAGTTCCGCACGGGTCAACCAACGGTCAGCTTTGTGATTGCAGTATGCAAAGTGTATCAAGTACTCGGTTGGCCTGTTGCCGTAGCGTCGCTGGGAAATGATGTTGCCGACCTCTTGAAAACTATCCATAGAGGGTGGGTCTTGCGATCGTCGGCCGGGAAAATCGTCATGTTCCGCTGGCGTGTAAAGAGCCAACTTGGAGCAATGGAAGATCGTGTAGACAGGCAAGTGGGCGGGCACCTGAATGGTGAAAGAAGGTCCTTCGGGTGCATCCCCAGCGGGTGCCACGATCGGCCAAGGCCCCATCCATTTCGGAAGGAGCTTGCGAGAGATATCTTGTTCAAGGCTGAATTTCGCGGCGGAAACCCAAACGAGATCGTCGGCGAGGAATGGGCAAGGAAGACGCTAGTGATTGGCCTGTTGGCTCATGCGTTGCTGCGTCTTGGCCATCTGGTCGCGTGCCTTGACAAGTAGCTCTTGCATCCGACGCAAGAAAAGAAGATGGTCGTCGCTCTCGACCGTTCGTGGAATGATTGTGTCCAACAGAGAAGTGGTCGACGAGTCGTGCTCGAACTCGAAGGGCGACATCCCGATAGCCGAGTGGATGGATGAGTTGTATGCCAACTCGACATCCGACAGCCGCTCAACCTAATCCTTTTGGTTGGGATGGATGAGAGTGCGAAGGAGAACCTGTGTGGTCTGATACGCCCTCTCCGTTTGGCCATCGGTTTGGGGGTGGCGAGCCGATGAGCCCAATCGTTTGATGAGCGCCAACCAAAAATCGAACATGAACCGAGCGTCGCGATCGCAAACGATTTCCTTGGGGTAACCCTTGGTTCGAATCCAACCGGCGTAAAGAACCTCAGCCAACTCCGGTGCCTTGGCATAATAGCGGCAAGGCAAAAACATGGTGAACTTTGTGAGTCGGTCGACCACCGTGAGAATCCCATCCACACCGGTCTTGTGCTTGAGGAACAGCTTGGTAGCGTCCATGGCAATCGCTTCCCATCCACAATGGTCGCAGCTCGCCGCACGGACGATGGTTGCGGGATTTGCAGCGTCAACAAACCTCGCATAGCGTGTGACGTCGTCGAGAAGGTCGGGCCATCAAAATCGCTCACGAAGTCGGCTAATTGTGCAATTGACACCACGTGTACGGTGGCGGGAGCATCGTGGAACTCGCCAAGAAGCCGTGTACGCAAGTGAGAGTCACTCGGTACGCAAAGAAGGTTCTTCCCCCGCTTGTGGACAAGCAAGTACCCCTCTTGGATCCAATAGTGAGAAGGCACCGGATTAGGAGAGGGGCAATTCACGTACTTGTCGCGACACTCGGGGTCGGCTTGGTAGCCACGGATGAAGTTGTCCCGCAGGTCGTCGCCCATCCCGAAGGTCGAATAGACTGCGGTACAATGATCCGGACGCCGTGAAAGAGCATCCGCAAAACGGTTCGACTTCCTCGGAATGTGATCGGGAAAGAAGTCGAACTGTTCGATGAAAGTCATCCACCGGGCGATGGTGTTGTTGACGGTGTCTTGGGTCTTGTAGAAGACCAACGGATTGTTGTCCGTTACCCATCGGAATTGGCTTCGACCAAGGAGGAAGTGCCGCCACCGCTTGAGCGCGTGGATGAAGGCGAGGAGCTCCTTCTTGCGTGCATCGTCAATGGAGTGCACGACGGACACTTTCTTGCTGAAATACTCGACCAGGTGCCAGTCCACGCCATCGTGTTGCTCGAGGACAACACCAATGCCATAGTCGGACGCGTCCGTAGTGACGCGCGTAGGCAATAGCGGGTCGTATATGCGCAAGACCTCCGCAGATAATAGCGTGGCTTTGAAAGTCAAAAATGATTCCCGCGCATCCTCTCCGAAGTCATACGGTCGATCCTCGCATTGAAGCTTGGTCAAGTGGGTCGCAACCTTCGAGTATGCCTCGATAAAACGTTGGTAGTAGCCGACAAGGCCAAGGAACGAATGGACATCCATGACGTTCCGCGGTTTCGACCACTCTTGGATGACTCGAATCTTGTCCGATAGCGGACTGATACCCTCCGGTGTGACAAAATGGCCCACGTATTCCAACTCTTGCCGGACAAATTCGCACTTGTCGCGGTTGGCTTTGTACTTGGCGCGGCGGAGCATCTCCAACACTCGTCGAAGATGTCCAAGATGATCCTTCAATGTCCGGCTATAGACGAGAATGTCGTCTAAGTAGACCAGCATGCACCGGTCCAACATTGCACGAAACTCGTTGGTCATTGCTGCTTAAAAGGTCGTCGGGGGGTTGGTGAGGCCAAAAGGCATGACCACCCATACCACGTCTTGAATGCAGATTTATAGCGATCGTTCGGTCGGATCGAGATCTGAGGATATCCCGATTTGAAATCCAACTTAGAGAAATACTTTGTGTCGCCCAATCGCTCAAGAAGATCGTCGATACGAGGAAGAAGCCCCGCATTCTTGACGGTTTGTGTGTTGAGCTTGCGGTAGTCGATGCACAATCGTAGATCCTTGTTCTTCTTCCGTACGAAGAGAACTGGCGCTCCGTATGGACAGCTACTAGGGCGGATCCAGCTATTGTCCAACAAGTCATCGAGTTGCGCGCGGAGGACCGCAAGCTCCTCCTCGCTCATGCGATAAATGCAACCTTTCAGCGGCACAGCACCGGCCTCAAGAATGATATAGTGAGATATCGGCCGATCCGACACCACACCAGTAGGTAACTCGAAGATGTCGGCGAACTCGTCAAGCAACCGCACCACACGGGGGTCCGAAGACAAGTCCATAGGTGAAGAGTCGGCTACCGCGATGGTCCGTAGGAAACATAGGTCGATTTTGTCGGGTTGCTCGTAAGCACAAGTAGCCCGGAATGACATAGCCGTCACCACTTGGCATCGGATCGAAGGGTGCGGAAGAGGAATAGTACACGGCACTTCGGCGCCGAAAGCATCGCGGACAGTAAGAGTCTGTCGGTGGAAGTTGACCGTGTAATCTGCACTTGCAAGCCAAGGCATTCCCAAAATAATGTCGAAGTCCGTGTCCAAAATGTCGAATGTCACCGGTTCGCATGCATGAGGTGCGAAATACACCGGTACGGCCTCGATGTAGTGGTCGATAAGTTGTTGCGTCCTTCCGTCCGCCAACTTGATCGCCGTCAGGTTTGCCTTTCTCCGAACTTGTCTGCCAAGGTCAGCCCTTTGCATAAAGGCTTGACTCATGAAATCGCGAGACGCGTCGCTATCCAGCAAAGCGCTGCAGAACGCTTGCCCAACTTGGATGCAGACATAGAGTACCGGTGCGTTGTTGTCATCGTACCGCTGCTTGCGAAACTCGCGGGCCACCTTGGTAACATACGCAAGGATGTCCCCCACCTCTACTTCGTCATCCTTCGGCGAAGTTGGTGGTGCATAGAAGAATAAGTATGTGTGAAGATTAGCGCATAATGCTGGGCATTGCGGTCCCGGCAAGCGGCCCGTGGTCGGGAGAGGAAGCCATGTGAAATCCTCGAACGTGAGCGGGTCCAATACCTCTATGTTGAACTCGCGCGCTAAATCCCGTGAAGAACCACTTGAAGACGATAAGTCACCGCTGTCGGACAGAGAAGATGCCGCACACACGTCTTGTCCTTGAGCATGAGTACCCAGCGTAGGAACGAGCTGGGCAGCATAGTCCTCATAAGAATATAGAAGACGAGGACTATCAACTTTCCACATGTGCCTCAGAACGAAAGGCGGTCACCCGCGAAGTGACCAGTTCCGAAAGCGTCGAGAGTGTCGTCGAGTCACTCCCGGCGGTGCTCAGTTTCCCGATTTGTCCTTGCCTTTCGACGGGCAGCCCACTGTCTCGTGGAGATCGTTGTTGCACCACAAACAATAGTGGAATCCCGTGTGTGCCTTGTATGCTTGCTCGGAGAGACCGTAGTGGGACCATGGGGCTGGAGCAGCTGCGCCGACCACGAGGCTAGATGCGGTGTTTATCTTCGTCTTGCCGTCCTCGGCCTTTGTCGGGGCGTCCACCATCCCGGGCAGCTGCGATTTTGTCCCCTTCATTGGCAAACACGGCCTCGCTAGATTGGTCGTTTCACGTTGCCGCCGCGACCACGGCCACTTTCGGCCAATGCTGATCTCTGCTCGGGCCTATCGCAGACGAACGGTGGAGGTTTTTCGCCTCCTTGTTCGTGACAATAATCTGCGGGGCCTTGTCGAAGAGCTCCACCGTTGTCGTCAGGATGTCCTCAACGTGAGTCAAAGGCATTGCCCAACGTCGGACACGACCTCGAGATGAAGTAGTGTTCGACGGCCTTAAAGCTCATTTGAATGTCTAGGACGGATGTCAACTGTTCGTACTCGGCAATCCAGTCAACACTTGACAGCGTGCCTTGTTCGAAGGTCATCAGCTTGTCCATTGCCTTGATCTCCGGCGGCTCTACTTGGAACCGCTTATGCCACGTCGCCTTTAGATCACCCCGGCTGATCTTGGTGTGCAAGTCGGCAGCCACCACTCCGTACTTGGACAAGAGAATGTCCAACCAGTATAAGTATGTGTGGTGCTTGTGTTCGCTGACGTAGTGTGGCTGCAACTTGAGTTCGAACTTGCAGAACCACGGAATCGGGTCCGTCTTTGTCGAATCGCAGAAGATCTCCTGATCATTGAACTTTGGAGTTGTCTCGCGTGGTTCCGATCTCGAGTGAGTGGTGGCAGTACAGATCGGCTGCTCCAACTGTTGCGTTGCGTTTTGTTGTACTGCACACCGTCCTTGAGGGATCGACGTCAATCTCCAATGCCTTGAGGCGATCGGAGGTGTTGGAAGAGCTGGCAACGGGGGCGGCGACGTTTTGTTCCAGCTGCTGGAGGCGGCTGTTGACTTGGTCAAACACGTGATTGTGCGTCTGAACCGCATCGTCGAGGTTGTGGATGTCCTCCTGCTGTGCAATGCACGTGGCCAGGAGGTCAGTGAGATGGGAGAGGAGTAGAGCGATCTTGTTTTCGCTCTGTTCCATCTTCCCATTCTCGGCCTCGGCCCACCAGTCCGCTGCCATTGCGAGCAAGGCTCGCTCTCCGCTGAATATCTTCTCGCGTCGTTGAAGTCGTTCTTCATCGGCAGCCTTTGCTGCTGCCTCGTCTTGCTGGCGCTGTTGTTCAATTGCCAATAGATATGCCTTCTCGGCGTATTCTGCCTTCTTCTTTGATGCAGCTGCTACTGCATATGACCCTTGCTTAGCTTCGGTAATTAGAAGCAGCATCCAGGCCTGATAGGCCTTGTCCGTTTCCCCGGACTTCTAATCCATGCCGGCTGTTTGTAAGTGCGTGAGCATTGACCAGGCCGGGGGCCTACTGACGTGGCAATGCCTGCTGCTGACGTGTCCTGCTGACGTGTCCTGCTGACGTGGTCTGCTGACTGGCAACTTACTAATGCTGCCGCAGGGGGTACCAGGAGACCGATAGAGAAGATAAGACCAGAGGGGGCAACAACTTAGGTGGGAAGGGGTGGGTGGGATAAATCGCCTAGATAAGAAGCCACTAATAAAAAAAGAAAAGTTTGAACTTTGCAAAAATTTCGAGAAAAAGAAAAAGAATACTCGTTTGCAAGTTCAGTAGGCCTTGCAATCCCCCTGAAGGACGAAATTATGAATGAGAAAATTTCAAACCTTCATACTACAGATGAGTGTCCGATAAGAATTCCGAAAAGAAACGACAAACAGATATTCGGAATTACTTAGATGAGAGTACGCGCAGTTCTGAAAATGATAACTGCAAGAGGTATTTCCCGTACCGTTTTCAGAAAAACGAATTTCGGAAAAAAATATTCTGGATTTCCAAATAACGGGAAATTGCAAAAGAAAATCGAAATTTTCGAAAAAAAGATATTCCGGATTTCCAACAACGAAATTTCGAATTTTCAGAAGAAAAACGAAAAACGGAAATTTCAGGTGTTGCGCTATTGCGATTTTCCACAACAGAAATAGCGGGAAAACAAAATCCAAGAAAAGAAAAGAAAAATCAATTTTCGGCAGTGAGGTCGAAATCGTGATTTTGGGGGTTAACTAGTGTGCTCTAATCAATCACTAAAGACTAATCAGCTACCTAGTCCCCGCACACAAGTCAGATCAGGTTGTCCTGATTCACGTGCGGTGTTTCAATACCAACTGTTACATGCCCAGTTGGGCGATGTACATATAAAACCAAGGATCCGCAATGTGATGAAAAAGGACTGAATGGACAATGCAGTGCAAGTGGAATCTCAACAAGCAGTGTACATCCTGATACATACAAAAATGGTGCTTTATGGCGCAGTGGAAGACTTAGATACAAGACCTGACCTGACCGGGACTGACCTCTTTCACGTAGTGCAGGATAGCGCAGCTGAATGCTCGAATACTAATGACGAGCCCCATCAATGTCGCAATGCAGACTAAACATACATCATTCTCATCACAAGGTGTGAAGGGGCCTGGCGCTACACACAGGAAGAAGGCGCCAGGTCCAGACATGCACAGACGAAGAGGAGGGGATCAGACGAAGAAGAGGAGGGGGGAGATGGGAAAGTCGTCAACACCAAGTCTCGTTACAAGTCCCAAATAATTCCTTGTCAAAATGTCTGAAGCCCATGTCGAGTCTGGATCCAAGTGTCACCAAGCTCCCTCTCTCGCATAGTCTGCTGATGCACTGAAGTCAGGTAGCGAGAGGGTGAGAGGGAGATGGTGGACTGAGAAGAGGAAGAAGAAGAACTCTCTCTCTCTCTCTCTCTCTCTCTCTCTCTCT